CCCAGACGCGCATCCTGGGCCTCTCCTCCATCCTGCCACGCCACAGGCAGCAGCAGCAGCAGCAGCAGCAGTATTACCAGTCACTGGTGGAGCTCAGCCAGCAGAGCAGCAGCACTACAGCGCCCACCACTGGACACAAGACGCAAGACATGCAGTCCAGGTACGTGGCCGAGAACCTGTAAAAAGTACTGGTTTGATGGAAATGGTTCTGGTGTTTTCACCTTCCTGGTCGAACCGTCGGGTCGAACCGTCGGGTCATACAGTCGTGACGTTTAGGCGTCGGCGTCGGCAAGAACTGGTCGAAACATGTCACGATACGTATCACGATACGTATCACGATACGGGGGCAACGGTACGATATACGGCGCAACAATGTACTATATGAAAACGTTGGAATGGGCTCAGATTGTAAAGGTGGTGCAGTACTCTGTAGTACTCTGTAGTACTCTGTAGTACTCTGTTAGTGGACCAGCACGAGGACTTCTCTCTGTGGAGAACCTGGACCTGGTTCTAGAACTTTTGGCTCCGTCTAAGACTCTGTCAGTCCACAGTGAGTCAGTGGATCTGTGTGTGTGTGTGTGTGTGTGTGTGTGTGTGTGTGCAGGTTATTGAGGCCACAACACACACACATACCCCCCCCCGACCTCACCCCCCCGCTGCTACACAACAGGTGGACAATACTCAAATACACTGTAAAACTAGGAGTGTATTTATTACTGCATCAGTCCAGCCTGGTACACATACCATACTAATAATAACACACACACACACACACACACACACATCTTCATGTCACTGGTTTGACTCGGGGGAAGATCGTAGATGAAGCTAACTGCTAACAGCTGTTAGCTTCCTTCTTTAATCTCTAACAGCCTGACGTCGACTTTATTAAATCTGTCTTTAATTAAAAACCTCAACTTTATGATGAACAGATGCCCCCCCCCCCCCCCCCCCCCCACACAACAACACACACACACACACACACACGTCCTCCCTGACACATATTTGGACGACCGAGCTGAGCTTTCTATAGACGCCACCTGCCGCCCCCCCGCTCCTCCCCCCCCCCGGGGTCTCTGTGGTGGAGGGGGGAACTCCCCGTTGGAGGGACAGTCAACCCACCATGTCTCAGGGTGGACACGTTGACCCCCAGCTCTGGCGCTCCTCTCGTCTGCCCACCGCCGTCTCCCGTGACAGGAAGAGTCGTCTGCCCTACGGTAGAGGCAGCAGTCGGACCAGGCTGGACTCCTCACCCAGGTACAGTCACCCTGGGGGGGGGTTTGGGGGGGGGGGTCACACTGAACCAGGACCCTCACAGGGTTCTTACCTGAAGACGTTTTCATCATGAACTGGTAAATACTCTTCACCTAGTACTACTTCTTACTGGTACTGCTCCAGTTGTTGTTGTACTGTACTTGTACTAGGTTCTGAGTTTGTACTAGTACGACTGTAATACTGTAAACTCTTCGTGTTTGTTTCTGGTTTGGCTGCGTTATTGATCTCATATCAATATCTCCTCAGTCATTGATCAGTTATTGATTTTTTCCAATATTCCTGCT